ACGGAGAAAAAAAAACGTTTAGCTCGAACGATACTCCCTCCAACAATGAACTGTACCAAAAATCACAACTTTTGTATTTTTTTTTTTAATCAACAATTAATGACATACTTTGGTTGACTATTATATTATGCGTTGCTCCTCCATAAAGAGTTGATCTAAAATAATTGTTATGCAGAATAGTATACCTTAAGCGCCTTCTGTTGTACAGGCATTTTAGTGCAGTATAACTGGGATTGAAACATTCAAAATCAAATATGCAAAAAATATATAACAGTTGAGTTGTCAAAAATTGTTTATTCCGTTCTCTGTAATAATCGGTAGAAAATGCTAAAATTTGGAATTATGATGAGATAAGGGGTAAAAGCGTAGAAAACTTTTTTTTTTTGTGAATATTTCAAAAAGTATGAGATTTATCGAAACTCTTTATACAAAATTAATATACTTCAAAATCACTGTAAAGATTATTCTTGACATATGTTTACTGATTTCAGTGGTCAAGAACTTATTCAAGATATTACATTCCTGTGTACATTAAAAAAAAAAAAAGTACAGAGCAGTCTTTTCGATACGCAACATAGCTATTGAGATATTCACAAAAAACAAAACAAAATTAATGCGTGTGCTTCAGACCACACGAAATAAATGAAAACATCAACAAGGCGAGATTAATATTATGAAATATAAATTATAAATAATAGATCATTATAAATAAGATGAAAAACTGAACATTTCTATCGCTGACAGTATACAGATCCGATTTTTAGTATCTGAAATATTTTAATCCATATGTTCAACTAACCTAAGGTTGATAATTATTTGGTTTTCAATACTATTTTTTCCTTTTCGCCTCCTTAGCACGGCTTCGCGTTAGGTTACAATTTTGAATTATATCCTGTTACATAGAGGATGAAACGCTGAATTATTTCCTAGCTAACAATATGCATTCTGAGATATTCTAATCCATTTGTAAAAATATTTTAATTAGTCGACTTTAACCGACTTTACCCGAGCGTTAATGCTGAACGAAATCTGACGGATCAATCTAATTCAGTCCCCACAAAAAGCGCAAAACGCGCTTAAAGAAGTTTTCGCAAAAAAAAAAATGTTTGAGGCCTCCTCTCCCTCTTCCAAACAAAACCCAACACAAGAAACTTGAGAACGTTTTAGCAGTTATTAAGAAGATGGTAATAAACAATTTCTAACAAGTTTTTTTTTTTTTAGATTCGGGTGCATCCCTAATTTTACTGTACTTTAGGTTATGTGCTGGGATCTGGTCATGTAAAAACTAGTATGTCCATGATTCATGCGATACTTTTTTTTTTCATTTAAACACATTGTTGTTGATATATGATATGATATATTTTGTGGATGTCCCAGAGCTGTATCTATTGACACAGTATTGCTTCATCCTTTATTGAACTGCAGACCATTTGTTGTCACATTTCATGTTCTACTCCGTAAAAAAGAAAAGAATTATGGCCAGAACTAGAACCATGTATCCACTCTATAAAGGTTGGATGGTGGATATTTTTTATCCGGTTGGGGGTGCGGGATCAGTTTATTGGTTTTTTTTTCTTCTTTTACTGCCATCGGTTGCAGTTGACCCAGATCGCATCCTTCATGCTTCGATCCGGTTTATCGCATCTTTTGCATGCTCATTGTCTGCGTATTCACCTTTTTATTGGCTATTGGCTCTTTTTATTCCGTTTTCATGTTTATTTATGGGCAAGCGTTTGGACTGTAATAGCTCTGCACTTGAATATTTTATCTCAACTTAGCCCGTGAACTGGCGTGAGTGAAGATGAATTATGAACATGAAACTTGCTATGAAGAACTCCTTAACGTACGTCAAATCTTGTAACAATAGCTGAAATATACATAGTCCACTTGGTATTCTTAAAGTTTAGTTTTGAAAAGATTATTTGACATTACAATTACAATCAGGTTCATATTTTGTGAATTTGTGGGAAACAATTAGAAAATTAATAAAATAAAATTCGACCGGTAGCAAGTCTGATAAGTTAATTCGAGATGTCGAGTTCTATTATGATACGCTATATTTATACCTATCATTCATCATCAATCTATACCAATCAATCTGAAAAATGCATTTACCTGTAAAATGGATCTAATCCTGTGAATGGATTTAACTTTCTTCGAGAATGAGGATTATGATGCCTCGCGATACAATAGGTGCAATACTTCACCTCGGAATTAATTGCAGAATTAAAAAAGAAATAAATAGAAAATAACCAAACCTATGCCAATCTAATGAACCCTCGCTCTTTTATTCCAGTCAAATATAATTTGAATAATTTTTTTTAATAAAGAATTCGCTATTATAATTATTATAGTTACGTTATGATTACTTAATAAAATATGTTATTTACTATCGAATGATATAGACCACAGGTTTGTATCACCTTTTTATTTTTAACCTTTTTATTATGAGACCGCAGTAAGGTTAGGTAATAATAATTGGGGCCACTATAATTATTTATATTTTACTATTACTATTTTATAATTAATATTATTACAGCATGTTTTATTGTAACAACATTTTATTTCATTTATTTAAGTATCAGACCAATATATGATATCAATGATCCATTGCAAAAAGAAAAGTCACCAAGTACTTTATTTATTAATATTAAGTAACTAATTTATTAAAATATTTACTTAGACTGTATTTAATTAGATTGTAAACATTTACTAAAATTATGAACATAGTCACTTAAATCATATTGGGAGTTCAGTTATTATGGTTGGAATGGAGCATATGTTTTATGAACTTCCTTTAGGAGGTTTGAAGGTTCCGGAAAAGATGTAGATAGTCGTGGCTCATAAAATTTAAGATGGCTGAACGAAATGGTAGAATCGTGTGGTATTTTGATGTATTTTTAGGAATTTACGTCATTCGAATAAAACGAAAAAAATAAATCACAATACTTTAATCCGTTATATTTAAAATACAATTTCTACTCCTTTCTTTTTCCTATGGCCATATGACGTTGCCGTTAATCTTAAATAGTTTTGTTACATTTTTTTATTGTTGCTCTTATCTTTATTTACCTATGTTTTCTCTATTTTTTACCATTAGTTGAGATACATTTATTTTCCACACCAAAAACAAACCTTGTGCAGAATTGATGAAGGAATAACAAACATACATGATATTTTGCCATGTACAATTGATATACATTTTATTGTTCAATAATGATACATTACCTTGAAATATATAGAAAAAAAATAGTATTGATGTAATACTGAATTTATTTGATTAGGATGGTGAAATAGCAGAGTTCAACATTTATATCACTCAATTTTCACTCTAGTTTACATTAAAATATCCTCAACATCATTTTTTGACAAAACAATCGAGTTGAATATGTTAGAATAGAATAGAAAATTGAACTTTATTCTGGGACTAAGTCCCCTTAGTATAATAACAATGTCGAATTAATACAAAATAAAATACAAATCTGGCCAAAAACTAACTTATACAAATTCTAACATTATATACATTATTTAAAAAGTATGTAACCACTAAAAAATGAAATATATATATATATATATATATATATATATATATATATATATATAAATAAATGAATATGTAATTTCTTTTCTTTTTTATTTTTCTCATCTTAATAATAAGTAGTTTTGAGAAGATTCTATGTTCATTTATATATATATATATATATATATATATATATATATATATATATATATATATAAATAAAAGTAAAATATATATATATATATATATATATATATATAGAAAATATATATATATATATATATATATATATATATATATATATATATATATATATATATATATATATATATATATATATATATATATAGAAAAATAAAAAAGAAAAGAAATTACATATTCATTTATACATAACTACACAGTTTATAAACAATAACTATCTGATAGAAAAATAACTTTATACAAAATGTAATAATATCTACAGTGATTTATATAATAATAAGCAAACACTAAGATAAAATAAAATCACAGGGTCACTTGTGGTGTAATGGAAAAAAAAAATATGAAAAGATTTAACAAAACAAGAATCAATAGGTGATTATTCTTATGAACTGTTAAAAAAATTGATTTCTTTAGGAAGAGCATCTACATTCCTAAAATTCATCAATTTTTATAAAATTGGGGTTTAACTTAGTCAGTAAAAAAATAAAAGTACTTACATCTTGTCATTTGGACAACTATAGATGCAATTGTAGCTTTATATTGGTGGATCTTAGAAGCCTAGAGAAACATTCTCAAATACATCCTCCACTATATATTTATTTATTTTTTCTTAATCGATTTAATCTAGAAGATAACTTTTTTTTCCTCTCTATTATATATATTATTTAGGGAGTGGGGTAGCTCAGTGGTAGGGCACTGAGCTTCCAATGCAAAGGTCCCAGGTTCGAACCCCGGCTCATAGCAGACAATTTATTTATCTGTTTCATTGGCCGTGGGGCGACCCTGGGTCGGGAGACCCTCCTGTGGCACACCCAGCCTCTATAAAGTGGGTACCCTTAATTAAATAATTAATTAAGGGGTAAAACCTGGCGGTTGAGCGTGATCAAATCAACTCCTTGCACAACCGTTGACCTAGAAACAGTGCTTTCCCTAAAGAGTACTGAACCCAAAACCCTTCATGGGTTGTAGTGGTACAGGTTTTTTTTATTTATTTTTTTTTATATCCATTATTTAATTTTGTAAATGCATATATCTGGGCTCAAAAGCCGACATTTCTGTTATTGTTAATTATTCTAAAGGGATTCGTCCCAGAATAAATAAAAGATTATTATTATTATTGTGTAGGATGTGTTAATGAATTATATGCTTACACTATTTTTAATGAAAGATATGGTACCCATTCTGAATGGTTGAAAATGTTGAATACTGCTATCTTCCTCAATGCAATATTTAATGGAGGTGGTTTGTATTGTAAAAGATTGTATGGTGTGAGGGAGGGATGGCCTGGGGCTACTGGTCAGCGAGCTCGGTGCAGGACCGCGGGCGGTCGCCGCGACGGGCCCCGCCGGACTCGGCCGGGAGTGGGGACGAGGACTACCCGCCCCCGCTGTCCCGGCGGCCCTCCCTGGCCGATATCGAGTTCTCGGGGCCGGGGGGCGCCATCGCCCACGTGCTGGCCTCTGGGCGGGCCCCGCTGTCCCTGCCGCCCCCCGGCCCCTCGGCCGCCCCGCCGCCGCCGGCCCGCCACGAGTGCCTCATGCACCACTCGGCCGCGCTCGTCCATCACTACCAGTGCAGGGTCCACGACCTCTCCCCGTCGGACGAAGAGGAGGAACCCACCTACGCTACAGGTACTGTTGATACTATTGAGTAGTTAGTCATAGACAAGTAGAGATAAAGCATGGCCTGCCTTTTGGATTATTCAATTTATTTCTGGAATCATTTTTGTGCTTAGAAACAAATTATAATTTGATTTTTTTATTTTATTTATTTATTTAGAAATATATCAATCTGTCACGTGGACAATAGTTCTAGTGATATATGATATAACACATTCATACCATATATAGAGAAAATATAAAATTAACAAAAGTAAAATAATAATAAAAAACTATGTAAAATACAAAAAAAAACAAGCTAAAGATTAATAAATTAAAAACATAAAAACACAGTCATACCTATATACATTATATACCCTCCAACTATAGAAGGAAAAACGGGACTTCAAGAGATCCCTGCGCTACTCTCTCAATCGCGTCACTGCTGCTAAAGCCAGTGGAGTTTGAACGAGAGCGCTTTAGCCACATACACTCATGTATTTAGCGGAGAATCTGGCCATTGCCAGAACTCCAACATATATACTACAATAGATCTATGGGCCACTGCCGCTTCAACCTTCGAGGAGGATTGTAGGGGTGGGTGGAACTATATAGAGATTGTGCTAGGTGATTCGGATAATTTGATTAATGTATAAAACCTGAGCTTCATTTAGCTATCAATAAGTTGCTTTAGAATCCTAAATTCTGTTAGTGTTTGAGCTTTAAATAAATAGAATTTACAATGATGTAGAGATGGTTGACCGTGATATAATATGAGGAGTTGATCGGGGGGTGCGGTCAAATAAATACTAAATTATAAGAATAGTATTATTTAATTACTATGCCGACGTTTCGACCCACTTTGCAGGTTTTCATCAGGGCTACAAAATATAAAAGGTACATGGTGAAATAAAATAAATGAATATAAGTAGGTACAAAATAAGAAGAAGTTGTCTGATAAAGGTCATATAATTCTTTATCAGACAACTTTTTCTTATTTAATATATGCTTATATTCATTTATTTTATTTTCACGATATACCTTTTGTATTTTGTATCTTTTGTAGCCCTGATGAAGACCTACAAGGTGGGTCGAAACGTCGGCATAATAATTAAATAATACTATTTCCATAATTTAGTAATTATTTGACAGTACCCCACGATCAACTCTTTCTCGAATAGAATTTACAGTGATACATTCGCCATGAAAGGTCCAACCGGCATAATTAATATATATAATTATTTTATTATTTTTTATATGCGCCTTTTAAAATTCCCTCTTTTCTTTTCTGGCATTTTCCTGAATTGAGCTCAATACAGTATTGTTTCTTCATACAAATTTTGATTTCATTTGTCATATTCCATTGAATTCTACTAACCATTCATCTGCTTACTAAATGCTGGATGTCTTATGAGCCTGAGATACCTGGAGAACTCAGAACTTTAATTGAAGAAAAAAAAAGCCTAGCTAATAGAAATGACACATTGCTAAAACATAATTTAAATTTCAAGAACAGATTCCGACTACTACAACACTTACTTGACAAACGCTCTAAACTTCCAATATTCTACAAAAAACTCATTTACACTACCATCAATAGGCCCATTTGGACATACGGTATTGAGCTTTGGGGCTCTACTAAAACATCAAATTCTTCCCATATCCAATTCTTACAATCCAAAATCCTTCATAAAATTCTATATGCTCCTTATTATGTAACAAATAAAATTATCCTTAAAGACCTCAATATTCCTCTTGTGGAAGACTTGGCCCGAACTAGATATACCTCTTTTCATTCCAAACTCTTTGGTCACTCCAATCCTCTAGGTTGTAACCTTTCATCTAACACAATTCATGACAACCCTCCGAGGCGTCTGAAAAGAAGATGGTCAAGGGACCTCCTAAATTAATTTATCTTTGAAGTGTTACCAATGGGTAGCTTATTCACAAGTACCTTCATGTAATATATTACAGTAGCAAATTTACTGGTTGTATACATGTTTACAGTTGTAAATTTCAATGAAATCATAATAAAAAAAAAGAAATGTAAGAATAGGCCGTTGTACGGTACGAGGTGTGGATATTAAATAACGATACTAGCATAAAACATTTTATTTTGATTTCATAACACATTTACTTCTTATCTTCTCCAATATACCCCCCTCTAACCCTACAATGCTCCATGCCGATATTCCATTGTCTGAAACAGTGAAGGATGTCTTCTTCAGTCAGCTTCTTCAAGACGCCTGCCGTTTTCTCTTTCACAGACTCAAATCCTTTTAATGGAAATTGTTGTGTTTTCTTTCTTGTGATCCTGAAACGAATCGGCAATCCATGTACTGAAAATGCCCAACATTACTAAATGCCATAAAGTTCAAATGATTAAGTCAAAGTTTGTTCTTGAAAGTTTGATTATCATAACATAACTAAATTCACGTTGTCGCTGAAAGAGTAATCGCGATCTGAAGGACCTGACAGACTGTCAGCAATGTTTGAGATAATGGACGTTGTGGGGATAGAGGAAGGATTTATATTGAAGGTCATACAAAGTAAATATCTATGAAATATTTTACAGTATTTCTCTTTATTTAATAGCCTTGCTTATTATCATGTGCCAAATGCTTTGGTCTAAATGGAGATTTGTTGAGATTTATACTTTTAAGATTTTTTTAAATTTCAGAATGTTCGGTAAATCTGTTCTTTGGTCTTTGACTTTATTCAGATCATCTGGTCAATCATGTAACAGTATAATAGTATAATATTTGAAAATTGCACTCAATCTTATAAAAAATATTAGATTTGTTCGTCTTTATTTTTTCCTCAGAGCTAGATGTTTAATGTAAATAGCTTGCTGAAAACTTTGTTTATTCTTCAGCCATTCGTTTTTATTGGAATGAATTACAATATTATATATTAAATAAATTATATCACTCAAACTGTCTAATGAATATTATGATCTGTCATAGCCTATGGACTGTAACCTCGATTATCGTTTAAGAACTTCGTAGTTTCATTTTATGTCTTGTCCTTAATTAATTGGAACGTTTGGAAAATATTATTCCATCCTTAATAGACACGAGGCATACCTGGTGTTGCAAAGCGAAATGGTTGCTTAATGTTAATGGCCAAGTAATGGATTGCAACTCCTCCCGTGTTAATTGGCCGACCCTTCCACCGCCAATATTATTACAGCTTAAAGGATGTCAGTCTCACTGATGTTCACTCTCGTGCTAAGTTAGTTTCCATCGTTAGCAGCAAAAACAAAGCAGTTGCCCTAGCAACAAAATGGTATCTCTGGAGTAATCCATCGAAGTCTAAGATGTTTAGGTATAGGAAGAAGTGGTGCTTCGTACCCCCAAAATAACTACTTCATTTTAATTGATGACTATTAAAAAACTAATTTTAAACGCAATTAAAAGTTTCTTGTTGTTCATTCTTTCGATCTAACATATTTTTTTTAAAATGCCCTTAACAAACATTCCACTAGACCTCAAAACTAACTTTTTCTACGTCTCTTAAATCAACGAAACTTCAAACAAGATTTTAACTTTTTAAAAGAAATTAATTCCAGCCAAAATTATAGCACCTTTCCCAAATTATTTCTAAACTATATGCGTTAATAACCTGACGGTTTTGCCCCTATCGGCCAAAAACAAACAAAACTGTAAATTAATGTCTTTGAAATCGCCTATTTATATATATATATATATATATATATATATATATATATATATATATTTTAAAGGAACCTTATTAAAATACAGTAATGCTTTTCAGTTTCTCGACTTTTTTAAAACAAAATATTCAATTATGATGCATTATATTTCATGACTTGATTATCGCCTTCGTCTACAGATACTAAATGGTATCAATGGATGGCGCATAGTTTTATGGTATTACTGATATTACTAGGTGTCACATCGAAGTAATTAATTAATTGGTTCATCTTGATTTTCGTAGCAATAAAAAAATTTTTGGGAGGGGATTAAGTTTTTGAATATTTTGGTCGACCACAATGGTTCATTATTGAAAATAATAAACCAAAAATATTTTAAAATCGCAATATTTCTACTAATAATGCTTTGATTTCGATGAAACTTCCTTCATTTTTTTTTTTTTTTTAGGAAATTTAAATACCTTTGAAACATCTTATCACAAAATTCAAGTAAAAGTGTACACTTTTTGAGTTATTCGGAATTTATAAATATCCAAATTTAAAAAAAAAAAAATTGAGTTCTACCAATGGGTAGTTTCTCTTCATGTTGTACATGCCATGTTACAAATTTCTCATTTACTTATTGTATTCTCTATGTAATACAGTTGTAAATTCCATTGAAATAATAAATAAATAAAAAAAAAAAAATCGGTCCAGTAGTTTCGGAGGAAATACGCAAACGGCGGACGAAGATTTTTTTTTTTTTTTTCGTTTTTGGAATTCTACGTATCCTGAAACGTAAAACCTCAAATTTTGAGAGCTGGTTAACTTTTTGAATTTTTCGGTCGATCACAATAGTTCATTATTGAAAATAATAAAACAAAAATGAGTATAATTTATATATGGGTTTTTTAAAACAACGTTGATAGGTTTTTTTTTTCTTTCGGTATTTATTTATTCTAAATTAATTCGAGTGTTTTCGATAGTATTACTGAAACTTATACCTCAAAAAAACTCCCCCTTCAAAAACTTAGTTGGCCATGTTAGATACATTTTCGTGAAATGTAAGATGGAAAAAAAATAATACTCCCATAAAAGATAGAAAGAAATGATGTAAAGATAGGTTATAAAGTTTAAAGTATTAAAAAAAATCACTTGTATTCATTATTATGTCCAGCTGCAGTCTTTTAGATCATTGGCGGTTCGTAGATACATTTTGAAATCCTGTTATAGAATTTTTACGAACTTCGCCAAGAATTTTTCTTGGTCATCTAGCCGAAATCCTATCCAATCTAAAAATATTTAAAAGTGTTCACATATCCCGTTCTCATGTAATAAGAATAACACTTGTCCAGTATGTACAAGTGCTAACACGAATCATTGTGTCTTGGTAACCAGGTA